GGCAGAGCACCAAAAGCATTTAGAGGTTTAACAGGATAATTATTACCATCCATCTGCATTTTCTACAAGACGGAGCGGAAGGAGGGAAGTTGTCGTGGCAGATGGACAGATGAGGGTGGCAGAATATTACCATGGATATTGCAGAGAGGGGAGCCAGTTTCTGCTCACAGAAATAATAATAATAATGATTGTTTTATTTATATAGCACTTTTTAAGATTAAGCACAGAGTGATTTACAGATTAAAAGATTTACAGAATTAAATATTAAAAAATCAGAAACCCGTGTAAGCCAACCCCCCTCATGCGTATATTGAGGCATATAAAATAGATAATTATAATAATTAAATACGTTTTTGGTTTAAATAAACTGAAAAAAGATTGAAAAAATGCAGTAAGGAAATATTTGTTTTGCAAAAATCAAATCATTCAAATACCTCAATCTAAGGAACAATGACTCTTTATTCAACTGGTCACCAGACAATATGACATCTTAAAGGCATCCTGCTAAAGCACTGCTGATTTATACAGAGTAATGAAACAATACATAGAGGAGAATTCATGAAAATATAAAAAGTCCCCAAACATCCCAAACACACACACACACACACACATCACCTCCCTTCCTCTGAGGTCACAGCCCACCATTCATCAGCTGTTTACTGAGCGTGCTCCGACCCACAGGTGCAGATCTCACTAAATATAGAGCCGGCGGAGGAAGGAAAAGGCCCTTCCATGTGACGTATCGTGTTCATTCGCATACACATGACGGATGCGCCGTGCTTACTCCTCCTCCCTGTTTATCTGGGAGCTGACCGCTGGGTCAAAGAGGTCCAAGGTCCCTGGAAGGGCAGGCAGGAGGGATGTCCTCTTTACCAGTGGAGGAAGGAGGACGATTTGTGTGGATCCAGCATTGTAAAAACATAAGTGCAGCATGAATATGTACAGTATATTATAGATGTAAGCGCAGTTGGTCAAACAGGTTTACAGGTGAAGGACATTTTAGTTGCAGTACCACGGTTGGCCAGTGGGACAATAATAACCAGCTTCCTTAGTACATCCATGGCTAACAGATCTCCATGTATCCACACACTTTGTAACAGCTTTATATCACGATGTATAATATGTCCTTATTTGTCCCTACAGTATTTGCATGTTAAACTACAACAGTAAATATACAGTAATAATATCACACAATAAGACCGTTAATTACTCTGATGTATTTCCACAGATTTAATTTGCAGGTCCAGGACAGCTACTTCAAACATCACATGGTCTTCATCATGTGGTAAACGGCAAGGTCCTAGTGTGTGTGTGTGTGTGTGTGTGCGCATAGTGTGTTGCATATTACTCAGGGAGTCAAAGTCAAATTGAATTGATTTAGCTTTTTTGAGAACATCCTGAAACTGTACGCTCGTGCACACACAAATTAATTTGCAGGTTTTAACTCAATTGAGCAGGTTTCCCTCAATCCGCCCTACCAGTCAGTATCTGAAGCACAGTGTGTGTGTGTGTGTGTGTGTGTGTGTGTGTGTGTGTGTGTGTGTGTGTTGGTCATAGTCATGCAGCTCTAAGATGATCAGTTATTCTGTTCAATATTGCAATGCCATGATTGTTTATCACAATTATACATGCTTCTGTGTTGGAGAAAATATATATTTATTGTATTTGAATCAACAGTAAATTGACTGTCACAGTAAATGGAACTAAACTCATGAATAAAAATGCCACCACTGCCTGTATCCAAAATAAAAATGATTCATTCCCACACAGAACATACAGTTACACTCTACGCTGCTTGTGTTGTAAAAATGTTTGGTGTCTCTGATGCGATTGGTCCAAGAGTTCACTGGTGACGAGGGGGGCGTTTGATTTGATGCACCAGAGACTCTGCAGGGGTTTGAAGTGCAAAACTGAACCGTGTCTATTGAGGTTCATTGATAGGAAGCCAAATTGTGATTGTGTCCACTGAGGGTTTATCTGTGCAACCACACAATATGTGCGTGCGTGTGTGTGTGTGTGTGTGTAGTGACTCTTTACCTAAAATGAAAGGTGCTTCGACAAGTGATGAGCCCTGTCCACACCTGCCAACTCTGGCACACACACACACACTATACACAAACAAACCCAGAGTCTTAATGTTGAAGTGAAAGCACATGACTTTGTTGAACTCTTGGCTCATCACTCTGGACACACACAACACTTCTTTAGACTCAAGCTTCTCATCTATCTGACAGACAAAGCCCCGGTTACAATAAAGAATTTCAACGAAGAAACAAATATTAACAGATTTATTTTCTCACAAATATCCATATCCATACTGGCAAACATCCAGCGGTGCAACAGCAGATAAAGAAGCATAACATGAGGTCACAAAATACCTGTGAAAATCAGCACAAACAGGTATGTTGCTTTTAAAAGTTCTCAATACATACTACTTCTCTCTTGATTTATTACCTCAGTAAACATTGTAAACATGAGTTTATGGTCTCAGTCTCTAGCTTCAAGTCTTACTTCAATACAGCATGATGTCTATGATGCTTTGGGGCGTGGCTACCTTGTGATTGACAGGTCTCTACCACTACCAAGGCCGTACACGGCGTCTCTACGTCACTCCCCCGCAGTCCAAATACGGTCACTTCCCGTTCACTGGGAAGTGACTGGGAAAAATCCAAGATGGCGGCGGCTTCACTACCGCAGCCTACAAACCAATTGTTTACATCACGACTACTACGTCCACTTCTTATACACAGTCCATGGATGTTTACAGTCTGATTAGAAACTTGAGTTTAGGCATTGACGCTGAATGCTTGGTTTTCACATGTTTTCACAACTTGTGGGTAACCATCTAGACACAACCCCTTGTTTACCAGAGAAGAAGACGACGGAGAGGACGGAGAGGAAGAGGTGTCATGTGTGTGTTTCTGCAGTTTCAGCTACAGTTTTAGCCTCGGCGGGGACAAAGAAGCTGAAAAGGAAATCTGGAAAAAAAGATGGTGTTTTCAAAATCAGCAGCGGTCGCATGGACGTAGTCAAGAAAAGAAAAGAATCAAAACACCCAGAGAGAAAAATCCCAGAGAGAATGAGTGAGACACACACAGAGACAAAGAGAGAGAGAGAGAGAGAGAGAGAGAGAGAGAGAGAGAGAGAGAGA